CCAACATTCTCCCCCTTTGGATTCAAGTTTGGACTCTTGTGAATTTCGTTTTGCGCAGTCCAAGTACCTTCTCCAACCGTCTCAGAGCATTTCTATATTGTAACTTCTCCTCGAGCAAATTAATAGCATTAACGAGCAAGTATCTTTCTTTGGGACTCATACGTTCTGATTCCACAGCCTTATCATCACCGACTCTCTTTGAATCCAGTGCCCTCTTTACCAGCTTGATCGTACCATCAGAATACTTGTTTAGCTCGCTGAATCTCATGAACTTTTTAACCTGAAGTTGAGCAAAGTAAATGACTCCAAACTCTGGGCTTTCAAGAACCATATAGACTGGATATCCATCAATGTCTTCAAGCTCCTGATTTGGTTTTTTGAGGTTAATTATCTACTGACTGTCTTCAAGACCCATTTGAACATCGATGATCATTGACAGCTTGACATGATTTCGAATGAATCTTTTAATCGCCTCCAGAGCTATCAGTTCTCCTTCCTTTCTAATTTGCATGTTCTTGAGTTTGAAGTACATATACTCGAGATCGTCCAGGTATAAGTTTGAGAAATCAACTTCACTAAACCTCCAGATCTGGCCATCCTGCCTTGTAACGGTAAAAACAGGATACCAGATTTTGCGTAGTCTCTGAGCATCAATTTGTTTTATCATGACAATTCTGTGCTTTGTATGAACTTGGCTGATGGGCTGACATTTGGCTTTCAAAAGATGACGGTATTTGGTTCTGTATTCTTTCGGCTTCTTTTGGATACCCAGAACTCTATCACCACAAATCAATTTTCTATGGCGAATGAATATCCCAAAGTAGATGTCTTCCAAATATGGCTCTCGAATTCATTCACGATCATACCCAAAGAAATTAGCTCTGATGTGGAATGGAACATAATTCTTTGTAAATATTTCTGTAGGATCAACAGTCTCTTTTGAAACATTGATTTCAGGTGCATCAGGTAGAACAGCAGTTGATGATTCTGGAATAGACTGCGGATCACCTTGAATGGGAAAAGCTGGATCTTCTTCTTCTACATCATCTTCAAAGTCAAAGTACAATCCAGTTGACTCATCAATGTTATCCACATCTTCACAAAGTCCTGCTCTCCACCCAGAGTAGTAGAAAATGCATTGTTGAATCCCACGTTGGCAGACAAGTCCATAAACAACCTTGTTTCTACCGTGGAGTCCGCTGACTTTTCAACCATTGGCTCGATCGTTGGACTTGCCTCCACTTCTTCCTCTTCAACCACGATAGCCTCAAATATTCTTTCCCATACAGTCTTCGGGGCAGAACATTCAACGTTTACATCCTGAGGAATTGACTCTTCACCCGCTCTTGCTCCTTGTGCAGATGTCTCAGCCAATCTCTGCTTCTTCATCTCCCCCTCATGACTATCAAGATCATCCTGATCGTCATGTTTTCGTTTAAGAGATTCGGCCTGAGATCTGCAAGTTTCTTCAAGTACAGATACTCTTTCAACAAGAGCATCTATTGAACGTTTCAGCTCTAGGGTATTAGATGTAACCAAGTGACTAACTTTTGAGAAATTAGCACTAATTACATCCTGAAAAGTCAAGAACTCTGAGGCTCGAATAACTGGGTTAGTATCAAATTGTTGACAAAGAAGACCGACCAAGTCTGCATCTTCGGCATCTTCGCTTTGAGCAGCCATCAATTTAGCGAAAAGTAACGATTTCAGCTCGTCCACCGATAGTTCCGATACTGATGGTTCTGGTACAGGTGGTGGTGATGGCGCAGAAGGTGGCTCTTCGACAACTTGTTCTTTCCCTTTAATCAACCTCTTCAGACTAGCTATTTGTGCATCAAAATTCTCTTGAACAGCCTTTAGAGCGCCATCCAAATATTCCCGTGACACAAAGTCGGGTAAAATCACACCTGGATCACTTGGATTACCAGTTGAAACAATAGTTGAGTAAACTGCTATGCCTACGTTCAATGTTGGCGTAATGTTAGCATTGGTAGGACTTCCGGCCTGTCATTGTGATATGTCAATAGACATCACTCTGGTCGTTCTAGCTAGTTCACTTAGAACAGCACTTGGAGCAACAGATGCTCCTCACTCTTGTGTACCTATGTGTATGGGCTCTAAACTCGAGGTGCACAGAATCAAAGGCGTAGGCTGGGGCAGCGACCTACTTGTTTCAATAACTACATTCTCCAAATGAGAAGTAGTTAGCGTATGTGCTAAATCCCCGTGAGAAATTGAAACAGTTGGTTGTTGAGAACCAATTGAGTGGATAGGAAGGGTGTGCAATTGCATAGCTGGGCTAGCTATGTCTTATTTAATACTAACATTCAACAGATGAATGTCAGTAACAGATGTGGGTTCCCAGCTCACTGTTTCAGTTTGGAGCTTGTACTTCTTTTTCTGCTCCTCTCACACCCTCTCCATGTTCTTTTTCTTCCCGTTCTCTCAAGTTCTCTTGTTTTTCAACTTCAACTCCCTCATCTCCTCCTCCAATAGATATATCTTGAAGTATTCGATCATAATCATCAACATTAAAGGATAATGATCGTAGACTGGGACAAGTTTGTTGAGTTGCATATTCAGGGAATATCATAGCAATATCATCAGCAAATGATCCAATATGCRCAGTTGTTGCATCATCATCATCATTATTATCATCATCACCAGAATCTGCTCGTTTATCTGATTCAGTAGCTCTGGTAGTTAAAGTGTGTTGCTGATCAGAAGCTCCCGGCACCAATTCACCCCTCTCAATTACATTTTTTCTCAGCTCACTACCCTGTTCAGGTACCCCTTGTGCCTGGACTCTCTCTTCTACTTCTATATCTCTCTCAGCTGAGGCATGGGGTGATCATTGGGCAAGTTCAACCGGTTCTGGCTGAACTATCAGATCTATCACTCTCC